CGGAGACGCGTGAGCTAATTGAATCGAACTAGCGATAGGAAACGCTGGAGAGAGTAGTGCCTGCTCTCCTTGGTCCATGGTGCCTAGATACGTCATGCTGGTGGGCACTGCGACGCAAATCTGACTATACCACAAGGTGGGGGAAAGTGAGGGAATTCCGAGCATTCCGAATTCGAGTTCTCGCAAACAACACAACTTATGACGCAGCATCACGTGAACTTCTTACCGCCGATATTCACTGGCATATCCGGTAGGTGAACCGCATCCCACACGCCACCACGACCTTGAGGCTGTCGAGCTTAAGTTATAGGGTCAGGAAATCCGACGCGTCCGTGGGACGATTCTGAATTGTGTCATTACTTAAAGTGATAAGGATGATTTCTGTAGCTTGGCTTGAAGCCGATATGACTTGACTACTGAGAGACGAGCTCACTCAGCACTCTAGCCAGGCCGTCACGCGCCCGCAACCTTTCGCCCAACTTCACACTACACACTCTCTAGCTCGCTTTTTGTGGCCATACTTTACAGAAACGTGCGAGTATGTTTCAAATCCGCCTAATTTAGCTCCGAGCGATCGGAATGATTCCGATCATTTGAAATTGGTCGGAATTAGTCGTGGCTTCATTCGTACTTAAAGGTGTTATGTTCGCACCTAGAAGACCAGAGCCTCTTGGTTGTTGCCAATCTTGCTGTCTTGCTCCTGCTTCCAGAAACGTTTGAAGACACGCAAGGTTGGGCTTCACTTTGGCGTGCAGGTTGTAGCTGTAATAGGACCTTGAAGTTGAAGTCCGAAGGCGCAATTGATGCGACAGTCAGTAGCAGCCTGGCGTCAGATGGAGGGAACGGTGCGAGCGTAGTGCAATGAGAAACAGGGCGAGTAGTGACCGCATGTTCGAAGGTCCAAGGACGGAGGCCCTGGATCGTCCAGGCATAGTGTTGGAACACACTTGACATGTCAAATTCGACAAACTGCCTGAGGGTTAAACGGTAATGAGTATCTGGTTTCTCTCGCTAGAGTTAAGGCATTGTCTACATACACTCAATCGGATTGTAGAACGGACAGTAAGGGTAAAGATTGGAGCCACGACGACGCTGCGTAAGCATTGGACAATCTAGGGTGCCTGTGGGTGGAGGCTCCATCAAGTATCCACACAGAATTCGATCCCGGGTAATGACGAATCTTTCCTCTGTCAGAAAGCGAACTGACAACATTGCTTCACGCCCTGCCACCACTCATGACCGCTTCCTCTTCTCCACGCACATCGGCAGCTCATGTGCACATCGCCTTGCTTGTGTCCCACGGAGCCAAGCTCGGACCGCTTGTGCTCCACGATGCAAACCCCGACTGACTGTCCCCCACGGCGCCAAACGCAAACTGACTGTGATCTCAGGCCTCCTTTATCGTCCAATCCCTCTCATGACGGCTGCTCGCTGTCAGTGGGTTCACGCCCAGATCCTGCACCTTTTTTCCAAATTTGTCTCGGTCATTTATACAGGAGAGTCAGGTGCCATACGGCGTATCCAACGGATAAAAGGAAGTTGGCAAGCAATTGAATGGTTTGCGATTCTTCCCAGCTCTCGATCTAGCTTAATCACTCTTGCTGGTCTACGTCGGTGACGTTCTTTATGCGCAGAAGTGGGTCCGTTACGTTGGAAAGAGGGATACAACTCAAATGAATGATTGAGTGATGATTTTCCGCGCGGCCAGATATGCTTCCTGTACACCCATTGCTCTTCTAACAGCTTCCCATCTTCCACAAAGCTGTTGCAAGTTGGACACGCTGTTCAACACCACTTCGCTGAGTATGATTTTGTAGTTAATTGTCATTCGTGATGGGACTAAGAGATGCGCAAAACCTGAGCAATGATGGCTGGGTTATAGCCAACTTCCACGCAGCACGATTGAGGTTTCTTGTCAAGTGATCGGCCACATTCTTCAAACGACAGCTTCCCTGGGCGTGCCACTCCATTCCCCCTTCAGTCGTGACGG